GGCTGTGATCTATAAAAGAAAGATGCGCAGAAACGTGCGTATGCATGGTTTTATAAATCTGAATTTTTTTTGGCGTACGCCATTTCCGCCTTTTCGCCGTACGTTCACTTTTAGTATGGTTTCCACGCAATCCTTTATAAATGAGACCCCTGGACTTTGCTGGCCAGATGGAACTGGTCTTGGAGAAGCTGTGAGCTCGGCTCAGCAGAATTTGTCCACATTATTTGTCTGATTGGATTCACCACATTGAGATGTACCAGCAGACATGAAGGCAGATGGAAAATTATTATTGTCTGCTTGACCCAAAACATTTTCTTCTGTTCCCAAACAACTGATTACACAATAGGCTCTCCCCACCCACGCTGACCTTGAAAAGGCTGTGGAACTACATTCCTCCTGGTGTTTACGTCGACATGCTCTAGGAATGTGTTTATTTGTTACGATGTTAACACTGAACCTTCTGTAGAATCCACACAGATTGTTTGATAGTTTCCTAATGATGGATATGTAAGTGATACAGTATGTGTGTCATCAGCAGTGAAGGTCCCCATTAAAACACATCACAGGAGCCTCCAGGACTCTGAAACTGTTTTGACTGAAAATTTGTCCCAAACTTTTCATAACACAGGTCCATAAGCTCAACTGTGTTTTCCTTCCAAACATAAACTTAAATCTGAAGTCTGAACTGATGCTTACAGTCGTAGCAGATGGACGAGTACTTGTAGGTACAGATCAGATCCTCCCAGCCCCCAGCTGCTGCGGTATTAGCTCCACCACAGGACTCCATGCTATTCATGTGGTTGGGCTCCACACCTGTCCAGAACCTGAAGGAGGAGTTGCTTCCATCTGACCACTTCCAGCTGTCTCTGAACAAACCGATCCAGACCCCCTTATCTGCTGGGATCAGGCTCACAACCTTCTGGTTGTCTGCCTGGTTCATGACACTGACCAGGTCTGTGTGGTGTTCTCTGCAGTAGGTCTGAGCCTGGGTCCAGTTCATGAAGGTGTTTATGAAGACAAACGTTGCATTTGTACCTGAGAATGAAGGGATGGTTCATTCAACTTGTCTCTGTTTGATGGTCAAAAGCATCATCAATGGAAGAACTGACGGTTGAAGWCATAAAACACAGAAGTGTGAAGTACTTTGTGTACTTTTACCTTCAAAGCAGATAAAGTTCATGGTTAGAGAACACGACACATCGCTCCACATTCCATTATATATTATCCCAGCACAGTTCTCTATTCCTTTAAAATTGTCTGGTTCTCCAGGGTTCCAGTACCTGAAGGGTTTCTCACCCTGGGGGTAGAGGTTTGAGTCTGACATGGACCATCTCCAGCCGTTCACATCATCGTAAAATCCAATCCAGGCTTGCTGGAAACACAAGTTTATATGTTGCTTGGCTTCAACACAAAACATTTACATCCATTTGCATAGATTCAAGCGTTAACYTTTAAAACTCCTTTAGCTCCTTCATACTCGGGCGTACTGCGTGCAGTCCGTGAGCTGCATGGACTCTGCACATATTGTCCRTGGACGTTTGAGACTTCATACTCGAGAGTACTGACCACCTGACAAATTCTTTAATTTCTCACAATTTCAGTCATGATGTCAAGGTTGAGGAGGAAGAGATAGTTTGCATTTTAGCTTTAAAACAACAAAAGAAATATAAAGAACTACCTTGCAGGATCTGAACCATTTCCTCCCACAAATTTGTTGCTCACTGGAAGTCCTTATATTCCTTCATTGATGCATCATAAAGTTGTCTAATATCCTCCATGAGACGTTCTCCAAAATTTGACTCCATTTCGTCCACAAATGACAACGATTCTCAATTTTATCAGCTTGGTGTCGCATCCAAACCAGAACTCACCGGGCAGTTTATTGTGCGACGCCGCGGACGCAGACGTAAAAAGATTATCTCTGCGTGGACCAATCCGGCGGACGGCCGCTTCGAGTCCACCTCGAGTCCACCTCGAGTCCGCGTGGACCTTTGCAGAGCAAAGTACGCCCGAGTATGTGGAGGACTTAACAAACCAGAATGTTTTCAATCAATCAGTTTGTGTCATTCCTGGGATCTTTTTACAAGAGTTGGATGTAAAACAATCAAATACAAGGAAGTAAAAAGTTCAGTATTTCCATCTAAAACATAATAAAATGCAACCAATCACCAGGATTGATGGAACTTTGCTGGAAGCTCATGTAGAAGGTTTCCCTCCTGTGGGTTTTTAAACGTCACAAAGAAACAATAAGAGAAGAAAAGCAACAGAAATGAGTTCACCTTTAAATTTAAAGCCAACATGTTGTTGTTGATGGTCGTCACGTCCTCCATGTTCTCTATGGTCACCAGGTCTTTGTAGTTCTCTCTGCAGAAACTCTGAGCTTCAGACCAGGTCTTCAGCTCTTTAACAAAATGAAAAGTTCGTAAAGGAAGCGAGGAGCCAGCGCCCAGAGCTGCAGAGACGAAAACAAAATTCATCCTTTCTTTAAAGTTCTGACAGAGATGTGAATAAATCAGTTTGATCCAAGTCTCACCTGATGCAGCAGCAAAGATCAGCAGAACTTTCTCCATCCTSTTCTTCTGCTTTAGTTTGACTGAGCTGTAGAAAAGATATTTCCATCACTCACCTGATTTTAATATGCACATGTTTGCATATTTGACTTAACTCTCACATCCTGACTGATTACCAAGTCAAAATGATTCAAACCTGTTTTATTTACATACATAAAACCTCTGAAGTCTGGTCTAAATGGGCATTTTGGACAAAATTTGAATTTACCCTTAAATTTCCACCTTAAAAACCATTTACCTTGTCATGCTTGGTATCATTATTTTCAGCACAACCTCAGCTGTATGATTTTAGAGTGTTTATTTCATTTTGACAAACTGCATTATCACAGTGAACCAAAAAAACACACAAAAAGCAAAATCCAAGTAGGAAAATTTTGGCTATTCTTAATATAAAATTCACAAAAATGTTTAACGAACCATTTTTCTAACCTATAATGAAAATCTATAGTGTAAATTTCATAAACATGTTTACGAATTTAGCAAAAAACAAAATTATATCCATGTTTTTACATTAAATCGTGTGTAAATTCCCAGGCATTTTTTACAACAATTTACAAAATGTGTCACAGTGACTCCTCCAACCTAACAATGTCTCATGTTTTTGTTTGTTTTTTATTTTACAACCATTTCAAAAATGTGTGACAATGACTCAATCATAAAATCTCTCCAACCTTCTGTCTCATGTTTTTGTTTTTACAACCATTAGTCCTGAACACTGAACACTGGTAGTTGAACCACAGATCAGGACCCAAACATTTATATAACTGCTCTATTTCAGCCCTTTTATATTTTTTCCACCAGCTTGTTGTTTGTAGCGTGTTTGTTGGTGTTATCACAGATGGTTTTGACTGGATCAGAAGCAAGAACCAACAACAAGAAAAGGTATTTTGGACTGTGGGGGCTCCTTGTGGTCTCCCAGGCTGGAAACAGCTGAACAACAGAGGCCGTTTGCTGCGTTCTCTTGGTGTTCCACTGCCCATCACCTGTTTCAGCTGCTGTCCCTGCTGCTACAGCCAGCAGGGATCTGGATCTGGATCTGGTTCTGGTCCGACTTTGTTGTTGTGTCTGTGTTGTGGGCCTGACAGTGAGTGGGCAACTCCTCCTCCTCTTCATCTTCCCCTGGAGATGAAATCAGCTTGTACAATGTGCTGCAGTTTGCCTCTGTTACGATCATGGGTGTGGAAGTCCAGGGGAAGGTGGACCTCAGTACCCAGGGCCCAAGGAGGGGGAGGGGCCCACGGAAGTCCTGATCCCCCCACCCCAAATGAAATGGGCCCTCCGGTTATTTTGTTTAATAATTCGATTAAAAATATATTAACATAAACTGAGAGAATGAACTTTATTTAACCGTCCTCCCAACATGTTGGACATTCTGGGGGCTCCCCTCTTCGAGGCGTAAGATGGTTTTAGTCCACCTGACAACAACTCACAACCAGTGTAACCCAGACTGAGTGAGCTGAGGGCAGACCCGGACAGACTACTGGGAGAACTGGGAGGTCTGCCTGCCTGCTGGTCTGCTCAGCTGGCTAAAAGCTCCGGTCGCTGTAGAACTTTAAAATAAACAATTAGGTGTGGTCAGTGTGCCTCTTCTGCTCAGTCAGGCTGCTGCGTGTCCCGGAGTCCGACCCAGACCGACGTCTGTCTGTTAGAAGCAGTTTTCTGTGAGAACAGCTCTTCTGAAACAATGGATGTGGGACAAAAAGCTGATGAGAGACAACGTGCTCCTCATGTGATGTCATAACTTTAAATTTATTATAGCTCCCACATTACATTAATTATTCCCTGTTTTACCTGTTGGTGCACAATGTTTTTAAAGTTTAAAGAAAAGAAAAGTGATATTTTTTCCATCTAAAACTTTTAGCGTTTATCAGTAAAAACTTTGGTTAAGAAACATTTTCTAAAGTTTAACATCTGTTAATTTAACATAATGAAAAAAATAACATTAAATGACAGGAAACCATAAGATCCACACAAGTCTAGAGCTGGAAGCAGCAGAGCAGCTGCTCTCATCTGTCTACAGACTGACAGGGTTTGTTGTAGCTGTACTTTAGTTTTTTAACAGTATTTAGTGGCTGCAAAATGCATACATGAAATTATCTATTCATTTATCTATCATCTTGTTCATTTATTTTGACTATTCATAATTTGACACAGTAAAACTCAGGACAAAGTTTCAACTTGCAGGACGACAAGAAATATACAACAAAAACATCATCTCTACAGTCCTGTTTATAAAAAATAAACAGTGAATCCCACCTTCAYCACCTCKCACACGTTTCTCTGACAGCCTCTGAAACGAAACATTAAATTAATCATGTTTCCTGAACCTTTTAATCATTTCAAATAAACTAATCCCACCAAACACATTCACACACACTCAGGTTTGTTTTTATATCCTCGTGGGGACAGTGGATTGACTTCCATTCATTTTTTGGTAATTTTATATCCTAACCCTGACCATTTACCCTGATATTAACCTCAGGTACCTACCTGACCCCAAAAATAACCTCAACTCAATTCACACCTTGGTCCTAAACCCAACCCCCAACACACCAATGACATTTCAATCAAATGGGGACTCACCTTTTGTCCCCAAATGTAGGATTTTTGTCTTAAAATTGCCCCCAAATGTCACCAAAGCCGTTAACAAACACACACAGACACACACACACACACACACACACACACACACACACACACAC